TTACACTCATTCTATGGGTATGTTGTTTCTTGACTGCCTAACATTCTGCCTCATAAAGTAAAGTTGGTCTCAAAGTTGTCCTATAGAGCTCGTACTTCAGCTTTATTGGTATGTGAGGATCACATAAAACTCTGGTTGTATATCTATGCTTCACCCACTCAAATCTAATTCTATATGTGACATCTTCCTCAATCTTTTTATTTTCATTGATTATCAATCTAAGATATCAAAAGTGTGCTTTTTTTTATATATTTTTATCATTAGTCTTAACTTCTTTCTCATCTCTATTACTCTTATTCCTAAACCTACATTCTATATACATTGTCTTAGTCTGAGTAATTTTAAAACCTTTAGATTTTAGAGTATACCTCCGAATTTTTAACTTTGCGTTGACATTGTTTTGGGTTTCATCGATCAAAACTATGATATTTGCAAATAACATACAACACAGTACCGATTCTTGTAGGTGCCTAATTAACCCATCCATCACTAAGACAAAGAGGTATGGGCTCAATGCTAACCCCTGATGTAGACTTATTATCAATGAAAACTCACTCATCTCTCCACTAGGAAGAATTCTATATGGCTTTTATGTAATCCACTTTTATAGGTTATTAAATGTTCATCTTGCTTTTTGAAATAAATGTTTACTACTGCTGGGTCGTAGACCATAGCAAAATCTAGAATAGCCCTAGCCATTTCATTTCTTTCACCAAACCCATATCCCTATATACCCCTTCATATCTTCTACTATCATTTCCTACATATCCATTTATTAAAAGGTCATCTCTCCATTTGGTGTCTGGCACTAGTCCATCCATGTCTTCCCAAAATTGTCTCTTAATTTTATTCTCTAGCTGTATTTGTGGTGCATAAGCACCAATTACATTAATTATCTCTTCCCTTAATACAAGTTTAATTAATAGGAGTTTATCACTTACTCTTTTGACATTAACTACATTATCAGTTTATCACCTACTCTTTTGACATTAACTACATTATCTTTTAAATATTTGTCTGCCTACGCCATTTCTATTATTATCCTTTTCTGTATACAAAAATTTATACCTAACTATTTCGTTAGCTTTTTCTCATTTTCACTTAGACAAACTATGTTTACTCTCCTTCCTCTCCTTGAATCCACTAACTTCATATTCTTACCTATAAACATTCCTACATTCCATATGGCTTGACAAATACTATTCTCTTGGACTTAGCTTGTTTACCTGTACTCATCCAGATTGTTGCGGGAACCCTTGCCTATTTTTTACTACAACAGAGCGACGTTGTGGCGCGTCACTTCTAAGGAATGCTCTAGCTAACCCTTGTTCATTTTTCACTATACCCAATTCAAGTACAGTGCATCGCTTATGGGGAACGCACTAGCATAAGTAGATATCGTATATTCTAGATTCATGAGAAGTTTTGACAAAGTTTTATGTTAGCTACCTACCTTACACAATCACCTTTTTTACCTTGGTTTATGACAGTTTGAGAGAAAGTTTAAAGTCCTCACCCTTCTTAGACCAGGATACAAAGTGCATATAGATATTAAAAATTAAAGTTGAGAAAAATAAAAAGAAGAATTATTGAAATAAAAAAAAAAGAGGAAAAGTGAGAGGCCAGAGGGAAACATTAAGGCAGACAAGCAAAAGTAATTTAAATAATTACTAAGATGAAACAATTAATTTTCAACTGAAGCATGCATATAATAGAGAACTATGATAATAAGATGCACAGAGAGAGATGCACAGAGAGAGAGAGACAGATAGAGAGAGAGAGAGAGGAGGGGGAGGGGGGGGGTGGGGGGCGGGTAGGTCGGTACGTAGGAATAGAA